TAACTGGAGGTCAATCTATGTTAAACTCTAACTGTATAACTGGAGGTCAATCTATGTTAAATTCTAACTGTATAACTGGAGGTCAATTTATGTTAAACTCTAACTGTATAACTGGAGGTCAATCTATGTTAAACTCTAATAGTATAACTGGAGGTCAATCTATGTTAAACTCTAACTGTATAACTGGAGGTCAATCTATGTTAAACTCTAATAGTATAACTGGAGGTCAATCTATGTTAAACTCTAACTGTATAACTGGAGGTTAATCTGCAGGTTCTCGATAACATTGGGAGTCAGTACACACTATTCATAACATGAATGTACTGTGGTCTAACTTTTGCATCTTTTCTCATTATTTAAATAAGAAAGGAATTTCTTGTACATGTTGAAAAGTTTTCAAGAAACCAGTTCCAAGGTGTCAGTGGTTTATAGGAGGTCACTGGTAGGTTGTACTTGTTTTCTCTCACCTTGTTGTTTCTGTCTGTTTGTCTTGAACTGTTACGGTGTCAATGTGATTGCCTTCATTCAAACAAAGAAATATACAAAGGTGCCGTGTTTAAGAGCGGGTGGGTGGAGAGCACCGCTCTACTTCTATTCGTTCCCTCTGTTGTTTCTGTCTATCACAGTATTGTGTCTTCCCTGCGCTATATAGCCGTTAATGTGTCGATGTGCTTCTCTTAACTGAAACCCTCCGCGGTGGTGTCTTTAGGCCATTCCCAAAGGGGGGACAGTTCTCGTTCTAATGCACAGTAGAATTGTAAATGGGCTGATCCGACAATGTCAGGCTGAACTACAAAAGGGAACTGCTGCTTTTTCTTTCCTAATCCTTACTAACGTCACTTTCCTCTACTTCTTTTGTATGTTTGTCACGCTCTTGTGACCCGCTATTTCCGGGGTGCCTTGATAGTCGAAGCAGACTATGCTGTTGAAGCTAGAGAGGTGAGCAGAGTAAGTCTGATTCCCTGTAAGGACTTCTCCATTGACATCCACCCCTTGGCGCTCATTTGACCTTATGCAGTTGTGAGCGTCGTAAAACCTCTACTAACAAAAAAAAAAAGTCTTAACTGAAACTCGTGTTTAAGATAATCTTGATTATGTAAAAATTGACTTTGTGCAGGGAGAGGAACGAGCCATCAAGCAATTCATGTTCAAGTCATGGCCGGACTACCAGACCACACCCCACGCAGTGACGCCGTTGCTGCGGCTGTACAGGCTGGTGATGGAATGGCTCAAGCAGAACAGCAAGGGACCGGTCACCATACACTGCATGTGAGTGGAGGGCTCCTCATTCTTTTTTCCTGGAGTGGTTGACAGGTGCTCTGGTGTGGTTGGCTCCTTGTTTCCTGTCAAACATATGTCATCCTTATCTCTCCACCTTTTATTTGTGGATTACTCTCTAGAAACACCTCTAATCTTTGACACCTGTATGACCTGATTGTGCTGCACATGCCGTAAAACTCTCACTAAAGCTAAACATTCTTATTTCCTTTTTGTAATGTTATTGTTCACCACTGCAGATGTGTGTTTGTGTGTAAGTGTGTGGTGGGGGGGGGGGGCATAGTTCTCCTATGGAGGAGCAAAGAATAACACCTGCCATAACACTGTATGTCGTAAAAGGCCACTAAAGATGGGTAGGTCTGGTCATCTGAAAAAAGCCAGTTGGCACAGGGCCAAGTACCCGACACTGTTAAAACTGAAAAAGTTACGGAAACACAAAAGGCAAACACGCCTACTATTTCATGGATCTTGGTAACAGAAGCTTCTGTACCCGAAGGACAGTGTGCCACAAAGAACGGTGGACAGAAAAAATAAAAAAAGACATGGAATATGGACATGTCAAGAGGCTGGCCAGGATAGGGAAAATTGGAAAGTGTTTGCAGATGGTCTATACCCTATACCCTCCCTTGATCCAGGGTGAGGAAGGCAGCAATGGTGCAGAAGGGCGTTATTGTTGTTATCTATTTCCTCTGGAAAATGAGGCCATTACTATGACACACTGTGAGCAGTTTATCCTTATGGTGACTCTCATTCAAGGTCACGTTTTTCTGTCTTTTGTCTTCTCATTGTACCTTGTGGCTGTTTTGAATACAATGTTCACTATCAAGTTAATGTCAAAATGGTGTGAGAATTGAAGTTAACCCTTTCACAGTCAATTTCTCTTTTAAAAAAAAACTAATTTTTTGTTATTTCAGTGACAGTTGGGATGATCTAATGAGTATATATCTACTATGTGGTCAAACATGGTTGGCATTGAGAGAGATAAAAGTGTGTTGTCAGCCGGTTGTGCCATCACTTGAGTCTAAAAAGTATTATCCGTTCCCTTTGGTTAAGCTTTAATTAAGAAGCCATCAAGCTGATGATGGTGGGAATACTGCAAATGCTGCGCCTTCAGTCGCCTTTTGTAATTCTCCATGGTGATTGCAAATGACGAATGGTATAAATTTAGTGGGTTCTTTTCTGTTTGATGATGGATATAACATTGATGCTTCTGTTTGTTGCTTGCAGTAAGTGGGTGGTTGGTGGGCTTTCTGGTGTGGTCTGCTTCTTCTTTCCAATCAAACATCTATCGTAGTTATCTCTCCTCGGGGCAGTGCATCTGACTATAGTGTCTTTAGGCCATTCCCAAAGGGGGGACATTTCTCGTTCAAGCACTGTAGAATTGTAAATGGGCTGATTCATCATGTCACGCTCATAACTGTGCCTGATCTACAACTGGGAACTGTTGCTTTTTCTTTCCTAATCCTTAATGACTTGTTTTGTATGTTTGTCACACTCTTGTGACCTGCTATTTCCAGGGTGCCTTGATAGTGGAAGCAGACTTTGTGCTGTTGAAGCTAGAGAGGTGAGGGGAGTAAGTCTGATTCTCTGTAAGGACTTCTCTGTTGACACTCACCCCTTGGCGCTCATATGACCTTATGCAGTAACGAGCGCCGTAAAACCCTCTACTATAAAAAAAAATTCTCCTTCTTTTCTTTATATGTTATTCTCTAGTAACACCTCTAATCGTTGACCCGTATATGAACTAGGTAATAATAATAATAGTAATAATAATAATAATAGTATTAATAATAATAATAATAATGATAGTAATAATAATAATAATAATAATAATAATTGCTTTTCGCATATCCATTCTCTACTGCTTGCTCTATGCGCTTTCCAACTATTATTACCCCGGCAGATCCACTGAGAACACTCCGAAAAATTCTTGGCTCCCGTGAACCATACAGTGCAAGCTGCGGGTTTCACGTGCTCGAACACTAACAAACTGACAAGATCTTTCTCTGCCTATAGCCGGCTACCCATTTCCATATATATAAATGTGAGGCACCATAGTCAAATCAGGTGCTCGTCAAAATAATGAAATCAAAGAAACAGGCATTTTTTCTCCAGTCTGGCATTTTTTATTGAATTCTTTTTTGGGGGGGAGGGGGGGACCTGTTATTTCCATATAAAAAGACATACCCTTATGAATTTTACAAAAAAACGTTGATTAAAGGCATCAAATATGTAATTTTCACTTCTCTAACACTCTCTAACTGTTAAAGTTACCGAACTTTGGTGGTCATTTTCCCGCTAATTTTTCCTCTGAAACCAAGCGACCCGACCTCCTTCAATCTCAAATATCTTGACTTCTATTCAAAATAGTTGAGCATTTTTTCCCTCCAAAGCAAGGCAAATGAATAATCTTTCAGATGATACCAATAACTCCACATGCCCAAAAACTGAAGAGCGCATGATTCCACCGCGTCGTAACACATATATGGATGAAGTGAAGAAAATTCTTTTAAAGTGCCTTTCCCATGGACTCAACGTCGGCCCCTTAATGGGATTCGAACCCATGACCTTATGGTTGTGAGTCTGAGAGCCTGACCACTTGACCACCGACTATGTGTGTTGCAAGTGCCGTAAAACTCTTACTAAAGCTACTAAAACCTCTGTGTGTGTGCAGGAATGGGGCCAGCAAGAGCGGAGTGTTTGTGGCCATGAGCCTCCTGCTGGAGCGTTTGGACCTGGACTACGAAGTGGACGTCTACCAGACGGTCAAACAGATTAGGATCAACCGGCCACAGTTCATCGAAAACATTGTGAGTATATGGTTGGAGAATGACTGTAATGAATGATATTTGGATAAGTCCTTTTTTTTTTATTTTGAGGAAGCACACAATGCACTCGAAATAACATTGGCGGTTGGTTGGCTGGTACGGTACTCTGTTGTGGTTTGCCTCTTCTCTCCCATCAAATATCTACCGTCCTCATCTCTCTTCCTCCTTTTTTGTGTTTGTTACTCTCTTGTAACAGCTCTAATCTTTGGCACTTATATGAACTAATTGTGTTGCAAGTGCCGTGAAAAGCGTACTAAAACAAAACAATAAAATTAGGAATGCAAACATGAATACAAGAATCAGATGTTTAATACTGTAGTTTTGGGATGGGTGCTCACAGGGTTTTTCCCCCCCCAAGTAAGGATATTTTTGAAAGGGGGAAGGGGTGATAATATGTTTCATTTATTAATATTTTTTTTTTGGTAAGTGTTACTAAATTTCAAGGGCATGCAGTGCACTTCTTTACTCAAAAATGCTGAGTTTTTAAAAAGTGGGATGAGGCATTTTTTAATTCAGTAAGTTCTCAATTATACGTGAATCATCCTTGTGAGATTTGAGGAAAATGGAATTTTTTGGCTTTACGAAAAATTAGCATTGTAAATTGAATTTCAGCTCCAAATAAAAGAAAATCTTTCAAAATAACCATTTATGAGGTGGTCTTTTATTCAAATAAGACAGCTTTATTCCATGATAGCATTAAGTCAGTTCTGACCATAAGAGGTGATACACGATTCTTATTTTTATGCATGCAATTATATAAAATCGTGCACATCAGATTGACTCTGTTACTTTTTAATTCTATTGGACTTCGATTTTTATTTGTATGAAATGAATTCATCTGTTTTATTTCTTTTTTTTCTCTGCAGGAGCAATACAAGTTCTTGTACCAAATAGTCCAGGAGTACATGGATCAGGAGTGATGTCACAATGTCCACTTGTGTCCACCTGTTGGTCTCTGCTTATCTCTGACCATCCTTGAGACCTGCTGTGGTCAAGACGTAACTATTTTTGAGCAGTGAGCTGTTAAATTGGTGCCCCTTGTAACACCTGCACGATTTGCCAATAGTTCAAGGTACCAAAAGAGCTGAGACAGAGTTAAGTGGTCGGACAGCCCAATCTCACTAGAAATGATAGTTTTGACTTATTTTCGAGAGGGCTCTAGAAAGCTGCTCCGAGTTCAATTGTTTTTGTCAAAGATGTCTTGGACAGAAGATGTCTTGGACAGCACCAAAAAAACACTGAGTACTATTCTGTGTTTTCTTATGATCTATGCCATGTTTATAAACGTGATAGAGATGATGTGTGGGGGCATTAAAGAAGCTAGAGTTTTCTAAATTACCCTCAACTAGATTTTGTTTTTCTGCATACTCATTAACGGCTTTTTTGTTTTTCATTTTACATTCTATTCACCGTTTTTGCCAAAGGTATGAAAGTTGACTGCCCCCCTTCACTCACCTGCCCGCTACGTTGTTGTGATTATTCTAATGCCTTAAGGTGCTCCCCCCCAGTCTCGTTTTACGCTTCATGAAAATAACAGATTGGCCAGCATGGTTTATGTGTTGTTTTACGTGACCGTGTACCTGTATTTCCTTCTCAGATGGGGGAATATTTTGAAATTCCAGATTTAAAATATTTTTTGTCCCCCCCCCCCCTCCCCCCACACACACACACACTCACACACCCGCCACCATCATTCTTTTGCACTGGGTGAAGGATCTTGTAGTTCAAAATCACCAATCTTTCGCAATGTAAATATGGTTTTGTCTTGAATCAAAGATTTAAAAAATGTTTCTCTCATCATAATCACCTCAAAAAGCCAGTATTGAAGAGGCACGTGTCTCTGCTGAGCTGAATCGACATCAAAAATAAGAGTTCACATGTTCCCAAAGAAAAGTGTAATTTGATTGATACCCAGTATATATGTACATTGACTAAGTTTTCATGAAGGAGTTTTTATATAGAGAGTGCTGTATGTTTGTGGGAAGTGGGCTGTGCTCTGAGATGATTTTTGTGGATGCTTGACCCTTCCTCACTCAGAACCTGAGACTGCGTTGTTTGACAGGTTTTACTGCTTCATGATGTTTGTTGATATAATGCTGGTATATTGTTTAGCTTCCCTTCTCACTTTTAAGGCAAGATTTAATACTGTTTCTTTTTTTTTCTTTTTTATAACAATTATATGCTGCCTCTCTTACAGGTCCTTCTTTCCTCTCTCTGTTCCCATCGACATCCCCCCACCCCCCCAACCCCACACACGCACACACACAAACACAGACCTGGACATGTACATTTATGTGCGTTTGGGAACACACTCACACATGCCCAAGCATGCATGCATGCACACATATACTTGCACGCGCGCACACACACACATGCCGACGCATGCATGTGCCCATGCACTCATACACACAATCTAGATTTATTCAAATTGGCCATATCATTTTTCCTTACATGCTTGTCTTACTCATTTTTTTATGATGATTACTGGGGAAATTTATAGCATAACTGCAATTTCCCCAGACTTTGATGGTGACCTAGTTTAAGTAATTGCCGATAGATATTTTTACCAAAACACTGCCATAAGAATCTACACAATATTTGTGCAGTCAGGCTTGTTATATTCTTGTAGATCTTGGTGGAATTTCTATACGAGAATTGAATGCAGCTGGCTAGGAGTTCAATCTTTAGCCGTGTCCAGATTCACTTCTCTGACCTATCAAGTTTTCCCTTTTCTGTGTGAAGCAGGCAGTTTGAAAGTTGAAGAATGTCTCAGAAAATTGGTCTTTTCTAACCAGATCTATATATAACTGGATTAATACCTTTGGCATAGATCAAAGGCAAAAGGTCCCCCATGCTTTGAGCTATTTACAATGTTGATTTTTCTGGCTGTTTTTCTTTTGGTGTATTCTGGGGGTTGTTTTCGTTTTGGGGATTAAAGGGGGGGGTTGTTGGGTACTTAATGGTAACTTGCTTTTCACATTTTCTCGTTTACCCGGTAATAGTGATGAAAATTGGGTATTGGCTTTTTGTGTCAACATCCATATGGTCCCCAAGCTGTTCAAATGTTCTCACCCCCAAATATGTGTCGTGACGTGACGAAATAAGGCGCCCATTAATTTTCGGGCTTGTTGAGTTAAGGGTATAATCTTGACGCTTGTTCTGTTCATTTGTCTTGCGTTTGATGAAAAAAATAAAAACACCCATCTATCTTGACCAGAAGTAGAGATATAAAATTTGTAATTGAAACAGATGGGGGTCGCCTGATATCAGAGATAAAATTAGCAATAAAATCGTTGCCAAATCTGGTGATTTCCAAAGCTTGAGTGTCCTTGAAAACTGAGAAAATTCACATTTTTATGCCTTTGATCAACATTTTTCAGTAAAATCATCATCATTATCTAGTGCCAGGTCTGTGACAGACTTCAATGATCATGGTTCTCCATTCATTCCTTTGCTCAGATGCTTTTAAATAAGCTATGTTACCCTGATCTTTCCCCGTCACCCATCTGTTTAGGTTCTCCAACTAGGCTGCTCTGGGCCCTCCCCTCTTGGCTACATGCCCCATTAACCCTATCTGTACGTCATGTTTTACTATCGTATCCATACGACCTGGGGAACTCTGCCACCTCTTTCCAAAGAGGAAGTTACTCGTTATCCGATCTGCACGCTTTGGATAACAGTCTGTCAAAATGATTTTTTGAGAAATACCGAAAGTTTCTACAAAGAGATTTTCGTACTAGAAGTATTCTAAAATGTGTAGAATACAACCTTGGGGGTACAAAATGACCCCAGGGCGTACAGATAGGGTTAAAGAATAAAACCTTGTCGCAGGTTCATTTATGCAAACATATATAGATACATCTCTTCTGGTTCTGGTTTTGAAGTGTCACTATATTTTTTTTAATGAGTTTTTTTATCTCTCTCCTAAAATGCATGTAGCTTTCTGGGCTTAAACACTTGAACAGCTTGCCAATGATATGTTTTCAATGTATGTGTTTTATTGTTCTTTTCTTGCTCAGTTTTTGTGTAACTTCTTGATTCCTCTTCATTGGGTGAAAACTGTAAATTGGGCAGTTTTGCTTCTTTCTCATATTTGATTTATATTTTGATCAGGTTGAATTTAGACAGAACATTCACATTCCAAGTGAGAAATACCATTCCCATTATTCCCTGCTTTTCATGAAATTATTTGTAATTTTTTTTTTTCTTCGAATTTTGCATTAGCTCAAACAGCTACGTACTCAGATTGAGAGGTATTAGATAAGTAAGCACACACGCCTATATATACTGTGTATGTATATATATGAAAAATATTTGTTCTTGGTCTATACTAAAAGAAATCTGTTTTGTTTTATTCAAGGGAATTCTTGTGACGATTTTGTTCTTTACATACAAGTGGGTTTAATTTATTTTTAAATCTTTTTTGTATTTTTTTTTAAAGCAAAATTACATTCAGCAGTTTATGCTAATGATGTATATATATAACAATGGCATATTACGTAGAAAGAAAAAAGGGGAAATTTCTCTTACTTGTTAATGATGTATTAATAATGACGATTCCTTTTATACCTGTGATTTTTATGGTTTGCTTTTGTCATGTTTTTTTTCCCTTTCTTTAATGCAAATTCTAAATTTTAAAATACCTTTCAACCTCCTGTCTCTGTTCTTTAGTATAAAGGGAGTGAGATCTGATGGCACTTCTCCGTATCCATTTTGCAAGAGCTTTGCACTTCCCAGTCATTCCAACCCCTGTGTTCATGCTTTGGCCACAACTGTGGCTCCCAGTTAGACCTAGGAGCTTTCTCAAAGTCAATGTGATGCTATGTCTCCTACTGATGTTCTTCTTCTTTCCACGTACTGGTCAGTTGTTTTACAAGTAAAGGCACCCTTTTCCTGTCACTTGTCCTACAAGTGAAGAGACCTTTTTTATGTCTATTTTATAAGGGAAGGGATCCTTATTCAGCCAGTTATTCTACAAGTAAACGGACCTCTTCCTGTCAGTAATTATACTAGGAAAGAGACCTTTTCTTGTCAGTTTTTATACAAGGAAAGGGACCTGTTCCAGTCAAGTTTTCTATATATATAAAAAAGGAGGCCATTTTTTGGGGATGTGATATTCTTTAAAAAAAGGGATGTTTTCCAGTCAATTATCCTACAAGAAAAACCTTTGCTGTCAGATATTCAACAAGTAAAGAGACTTTTTCCTGTCAGTTATTTTATTGATGAAGTAACATCTTTCCTTTTTTCAATTCCAAAATTATTCTAAGCTCAATGATTTTATTTGCAGCAAGCTTAGGATACTTAATTAATTTTTTTCCCCTTTAAGAACTTGAAGTCTTAAGTAAACACAGACAATCATGTGCAATGCCAACGCCTGAGTATGACTGTGAGCAAATCCTCTTCGTATTGCTCTACTGCTTTCTTGTGGCCGAAAAGCTCTCTGTATAGCCATGTGGGGTTTCAGTGACAGTTGGTGTAAAGAGGCATGCTTTAGTAGGGCTCCAGGGCTATCTGCATTTCTTAACCCCCACCCACCTTGTCCGGTGTGAATGTTACACGTGTGTTGGGTCTCCCTTTGAAATTTAGAACTGTACGTTTTTAAGGAGAAAAAAAATCAAGGGTCCATTTAGATTAGTAGGGGCCTATCTTTTGATGTACTAAAACTTAAGGAGTGTTTCTTTCTTTCTTTTTTTTTTCTTTTCTGCTCTATCTTAAAAAAAAGAGGGAGTAGACCAAGTTAAGAATGAAATGTATTGGACATCATTGTTTTTGTAAGGTTTCTGCCTTGGCGTTGTTGTACCATTTGCCTTATAATGAAGTGATACCGTTTCACTAGAGGGACATTACAGATTTGGACTTTAAGCCTCGTGATAATGTATCAGTCGATAGTTGTATACGCTTTACCTGTATGTGTTTGGTTTAAGTGGAAAATCTTGTAACTGTGCTGAGAAAATAATTCAAGATATGTGGTTTACAATTTGTCTCGGTTGTTGCCACTTTGTGCAGGTAGTTTGTCTTGCTCTCTAGTGAAGGTTTTTATAATTTTTAAATATTTTTTTCAGACAAGTGTCCTTTGTTTCTGAGTGATTTAAGTGTCTTTTTAGGGAGATTCTAGTTGCAGAACTCGATTCTTGTTTTAAAAGTACTCTAGCTTTCACTTTTTAGAAAAAGATGTCTTGACTGGTGAAAGTGAAACAGTAACAGTGTGCACTGACACCCTTTCATGCAATTGAAAAGTCTTCTCGCCAGAATGCCATGAGTAACGTTTTTTCTTTCAAATATTTTTATTGTCATGATGTTTGCTTTCCTCACGATGTCAAGCAAGTGTACATAAGTGAGAGAGAGAGCTTGTAGGTTTTTATTTCTTATGATGAATTGTATGGTTTCATAAATCAGGCATTAGGTTTTAACTCTAGCATCTCTACTCTTGCATTTTAAAAGATGGGAACTTTAAAAAGAAGAAGCAGCACGGTATGACAGACCACTGTAGATTTTGATTTACATTTGTAAATATTTTCTGTACGAGTAAGTACATTGTATTCACCAAGAGTCTGCCATTTCCTCACTGTCTCTCCTGCTGTTGAATGATTTCTTTATCTCGTTTGTTCTGGACTGGAACATGTGGTTCTAAAATCACAAGAGACGCAGTCAACGATTTTCATGTTTGTGCTGTCTCTCTGACTGTCTCGCGTTGGTGTAGTGATGATACCTGACTGTTGATATTGTCGAACATTTTGCTGAGATCCCATGGCAAGGGTTACTCCTATATATACATCATTGCTGAAGCAAGAAAAATGAGTAACTTCAGTTCATCACAGTTCGCCCAGTAAAGCACTGTTAGAATCTACTCGTTTTGTTTGTGGCAGCAGCAACACATTTAGTAGTTGTCTGTCTTTGAGTTCTCACAAGGTAGTAGGCCAAGAAACGGGTGTTTGGAAGGTGTCACTAGTGGGTTCTACTTCTATTCCTTACCTCTATTGCTCTTGTCAGCCTGCTTTGCTTTTTGTTTCTGTTTTGAAATGATCGTCATTGTTTTGATGTGCTTCTCTTTACTCTAATAAGGAAAAAAAAAAGCCCCAGTCTAGTTAGAGTTTGTCTCCATCTTTTTGGGTAATACAGTGTGAGGCGTGAATGTTTGGAGGGCGCTTCTGATAGGTCCTACTTCTCTTGTCTTTCTGGTTTTTTTCTGTCTTGCTTCCTCCTTGCCCTAAATGAAAGTTATTTTGTTGATGTCCTTCTCTTTACTCAATCTCTCAAACTGTGTGAGGTTACAGTAAACTGTAAAGTGTGCAGCTTTTAGTGTTTCTGAAATAAATGTCTTCTCAGCGTACAGATGATTGGAGGGCACCACTGATATGTCCTACTTCTTCTCTTTCCCCCCTGTTGTTTCTGTTTTACTGTCTTCCTGCACAAAATGACAGCTTTTGTGTCGATGTGCATCTCTTTACTCAAACAAATCTTCTCACAGTGCTGTTGCTGATTCTGTAACCTCTGCTGTGGCAATGATGTTTTTTTTCCCCCACTAGTTCAAAGTTCTGTTCTTGATCGCAATTTTTTGTAAGTGTACTATATGTTTGGGGGAAAAGGCAACTTCAGGTAAGACACATTTTTAGTAAGCTTACTTGTTTTAGGTGGGAGTAAATGTTCTGTTGAATTTCCACTCGTTGTGACTTGTCACAATCTTTGAAAAAGGTCTTGGTTGACTGGTGCTTCACCTCAAGGAAAAGTATTTTCAAGTCCCTGAGTGTTCAAGTTTTTCATTGTAAGTGGAAGGTTTCAAATGGGGCCCAGACCTTGTGTTGATAAAGGCATGTAGATAAATGGACTCAATTTGCACATCACTTTATTTATCAGTGTGTGTTAGGACATATATTATATAAAATATATATATATATAAATATATGTATGGAATCTTTGGTAAAATTTAAGATGAAACAGAAATTTGAGCACACAGACAACTGATCTTATGGTTGCACTCTTTTTTTTTAACCTTCAGATGTGGTATTTTTCAGCTTATGTAGTGCAGTGATTAGGCTCTTTACAGTTGCTCACTGAAGACAGGAGTTTGATTCTCTCGTGAAGAAGTTCTGAGACTGAGTATCTCTCATTCTCTGGGTTGGCTTAGATAGGCAGGGTGGAAGCAGCCTGCCTCCAAGATATTATATTTAAATTGTAAGTTTGGGAAGGTAAAAATGTTTACAGATAATTATATTGGAATCCAGTAGGTAAATGTTATCCTCTGGCAGGTGTTTCAAGAAAGGATATTTTTTAATTCAGAGCTGAATACGATTTGAAGGTCAAAGCAGCCCATATCCTTTTAATTAATTATCTAAATTGTGTCGATGGTGGGGTAGAAATTTCACAGTTCACAGTCACAAACTAATTTTTGCATGCAGAAGATAGAGGTTTTAAAAAAATATTTAGTTATCAGTGGATGAAGGGTTCTGAAGATGCTTTCTTCTCTCAAAGTAGTAAAAGATTTAATCTTCAGACTCGGAGAGACTCAAGCAGTCAAGCAATCGCATGTTGGTTTTTGTTTTTTTCTTTAGTATGAGGTCACATCAGACAAAAATACTTGCCAATAGTTTTTGAATGTCAGTTCTCAGCACTGTAACTGCTTTCTTTAGAAGAAATCATATATGTCTCCAATGTTCTGTCCATTTCTTTGATAATGTCAGAAGGTGGTCATTGATTTGTGAGTAAAAATTCATGTGAAAAGTTGTGTTGAAGTTGATAGTGTTGCAGTTGACAGGCCTAATGGTGCTCCTTAGGAGCCCAGAGAGTACTACTTTATCTTTGTTTTCTCCTGAAATGTATATTATTATTCTGCTTCTCCACTTAAAGATTGAAAGATGATATTTCTGTAAGTGAGCCGGAGTATAAATGTCTGAACAAAACGGGAATGCTGTGACTGATATTCATATATGGATTGGATTGTAAGGCGTTTCTTCTCATGTACATTTATATTGTTACTTCATTCACTGTTCATTGATTGCTGCTTACTCGAGACATCCTCTATTGTGAAATATTTTGATATTAACATCTTTTTTGTATGTAACATGTCTACAAAATGTAAACATGAACTGCTTGAATAAATACATTGTATACAATTAAATATAGTGTTTATTTTGTATGTAGGTCGTACACATGCCCAAGCAAAGTAGAATACAATACAATGCTTAAAAGTAAAAGTATTACATGTATAGCTTCCACAACCTTGTACTTTCACTTCCCAGGGTACTTCTCGAGTAATTCCATTACTGCTGCCTTGTTTTGTTTTGATTATATTTTTTCAGGGGAGGGTTCTGAATCAATAATGCAGATGATAGCTGAAGGATGAGAGAACTTGAATCCCTGATTTATCTGTTGTACAGAACTTTTGTTTACCATAACAATTGGCCCTTTCAGGAAGTACCAGACACACAAAAGTCGTATAAAAATTTGAATGTTTGGCATTTTGATTCTTTCCCAACAAAGTGGGTGGTTGGTGGGTGGTTACGCTGCTGTGGTTTGCTCCTTCCTATCAAACGTCTTGTTTTCTTTATCTCTCCTCCTTTTTTGTGTTTGTTCCTCTTTTTTAACCCCTAATCTTCGGCACTTAAATTACTAAATGTGTTTAAGTGCCATAAAATGCTTACTAAACTTTCCCAACAAAGGCAAGATCTTTTAAGTATAAAGGCTTGATTGTTTAGAGTACATATCGCCGGTGTCACAAGCAATCCATTCAAGTCTGTTTGGAGAGTTTTTTCATCAGAGAAAGAAAACAACTAGTTTTTATTGTGTTGTTCTTATCAGAAATCATGAAAAGCAAGAACATCGTAAGCCTTGACCATAGCAGTAATCTGCACTTTGTTGAAAGGCGCATCTTTGACAGAGCTTTGGAAGGATGTAAAAATGGATAATTCTCAAAATTTGAACTTGGGTGGATTGCTTGTGACAGCGATGATATGATGTTGACCAAAACAAAAAAAGCAATGCTGCAACAATTTCCAAGGAAGACCAAAGATGACATGGAGTCGAGTGGTATAAGCGGAAATGGAAAAGACGGGAACATCATGGAAACAGCTAAAAATAAAAGGATGCACAGGACAGGCTTTGCTAGAGAAATGTTGCTGATAGCCTAAGCTCCACGAGGAGTTCAAAAGGGAAAGAGAGAGAGAACAATTTCCAAGCACCCAGCACAGAGCGCAAAGCCTTTGAGATTCAGATGGGGTACATAATCACTACTTACTATACCTGTATCTCTGCAAAAATACCCCTATCATTATGAAATTTTCAGCACATTGAAAAAATTGAATGTCACATATTTACAAAAAAAATGGAATTAGAATCAGACCTACATTAACTGAAGCACATTCATTTGGAATTAGAATCAGACCTACATTAACTGAAGCACATTCATTGTCTGAATCCTCGTCATGGTGTCGTTGTGAAGCAGCACTCATGCTAGGTCTGCTCCACATTTAAAAATAAAATTCACTCCAATTGTAAACACACCGTTTTTTGCTTTTAAAGGCCAGACAAACCGTTCAGAAAGGAAATTATAACTTGAACAAATAAGTAGTAGGTCTGAATTTTATTGTCGTTAGACATTCTTGAATCATATACATGAACGAAGGTGGAAGAGGTACCGAGGAGTATAATAATATTAACAATAATAATAATCATATTCATTAAATATGTCAACAAGAATGCAAGACAATGCCAGCTGGCTGAGCCTTGAGGGTCACATTGCATGAAGAAAATATCAACAAGTTGCATACTTCTCTTCTTCCCAAACTACAAGGATCATTAAAGAATGGGCTGAGGTAAAAAGGCTTGATCAGTGAGTCAATTAGTTCACACCACACTCTGAGGCTGCGGGTGAGACCTTGCCCTGGGACAACTGACGGGGGTGGGGTGGGGGGGTGGGGGTTGTGTGCTCAAAGTCGATAGACTAGCAATTGTTAGCCTTAGTCATTAAGAGAATTCCTACATGAAATACATGTACAAAGTACATAGTTTGATCACATCTACTGAAAATCTTTGTCAAGAGCATAAAAAGCTGACAGAAATGTGGGTGAGGGAGGGAAAACTAGTCTCATGAGTATTAAATTTAACAAGATCAAATTTCGTACTGAAATGATTTGATTGCCCCTTTGAGACTTAGCTATCATTTGTGGGTATACAAGTTCATGACAAAAATTGAAGATTTTGACTTCTGGTCATCGGAGCCCGCTCAGGGTTTAAAAGATACAACTCTCTAAAGTACTCCTGCAGACAGAACAGTCAGGCTCCATACCGACTAAACTGCCCACATCTTATATCAAGACAAAAACATATGTGGCTTGCAACATATTTTCATGACACTTTTCAAAAAACATATTGCAGGAGCTATTTCAAGGCTCTCCCTTCCTTCCTACAACAGAAGAGGGTCAAGGTATGGATTTCGTCTCTTCCATAAAGTATACTATACTGTGCCACAAGGGAAATAATTCCAGCCCAGTCTTTAAAATTTCCAATAAGACATACAACAGAAACGGTCAGAACCTGCTTTTAATTAAACATGACAGAAAATAGTTCCCAGCCAATGGGATGCGTGCCGTACAGTTTTCACATTTTGAAGTGCACACCAATCCTATTGCACCTCATACTATATTATTAGTACTTCCAAGATATATGAGGGATCTTCAGCTACTGGCTGAAGCAATACGAAATCATACTAAGAGAACCTCAAGTATTTCAAGTCCGCTCTCAGAGTTCGCAAATTAAATGTAGTGTAAGCGAATGAGCACCAAAACTTGGAGCTAAGGCATGAATGTAACTCATCAACAGTTCAGATATTCCATGTTCCGAACTAAGCAATCCTTCATTGGCAACGTTAAAAATCAAAGACATCGAGGAAGTCGAAAGGGAAAAGATTGGACAAAGACATAAAATCTAACCTTTATTTTCATATCTTAAAAAATACACAAGCACTTCACTTCACCAAGTCATGAAAAAACCATATGTGAAGAGAAACTTGAAGATCAAATAAAGCCAAAATTGATTTCATCAAGTTGTATTGACAAGAGGAAATCAACATACCCCCAGATTTTTTTTAGCTTGAAACATCTATAAAAGTGAAGTGTTTACTGTTTATTTCAAGCTATTTTAAGGAATTATTGATTACTTTATCCATAACATTCAAAAGCATGAAACTTGATATGAACACATAAATGGCTAGAAGCAACCTAAATAATATTTTATTGCAGTCAGCATTCCCAGCTCCCATTATTCAAAGATAGCAACTCTGACTGAATGAAATGAATCCGCTTTCTTTTGAATATACTGTAGTTTCAAAAAACCTTTAATAGACTCTAGTTGAAAACAATAATCATATCACATAGGTAAATTTTAAAAAAATGCTTTAATCATTCTATATCATCATGGCATGCATTTTTAACCCAGAATAGGAAAAGAGGAATGGATATTCAGGACAGGTAGAGGAGGTTGGACCAACATTGGAAAAAAAGTGTTCAGGCAACAAAGTCAAAGTTGAAGTGTGGAAGGGGATCTGCCCTACATTCAAGAGAAGTTTGCAAACATACAGATGAAAATGTTCCAAAAACATTAGAGTCATCACATACTTACTTTTTGTATTAAAAAAATTCCCCAAAGCTCTCCCCTTCACCACGTTAGAATAACTGCGACTAGAAAATGCTCGTTTCATTTAAGCGACAGTGACAATGATCTCACTATTTCTTAACTTAAACAATGAGAAGAGACGTACATGAGTTTAAAAAATTGATGGGAGACCGGTGGCAGGCTTGTGGTAGGCACTCTTACTTCGAACTTGGCTGGGAAGAGGAAAAAACTTACCATCTTCTCACAAAGAATGCTTACGGTACAGGAATCTATTCAATCATTTTACCTAGGACTGATACTGATATGCAGTTTATATATATACATTTTTTGGTCCAACCAGCAAATAACCACAGACTTTGAGAGTTGCTAAAACTAAAAGAAAAAACAATACACAATGCTAATGCATTGAATACAAGCTCTTCATTACGGACAAGATCATGAACCCTCCTAAAAGACACATAGAAAGAAATGTTATAGTTATATGCCTTCAAAACTTGTGTTAGTTATTAAAGAGATCATCATCATCATCATCCAGTGCCAGATCTGCGACAGACATCAGCAATCATGGTTTTCCATTCATTCCTTTGCTCGGATGCTCTCAAAAAACCTACGTTCCTCTGATCTTTCCCTGTTAAGGTTCCCCAAGTATGTTGTTCTGGGCCTACCCCTGCCTCGCTTGCCCTCTATTTTGCCAGCGAGAGCTAGATGTTCAAGACCCTTATAATTCAGGTGTCCCAAAAACTGCATGTGTCGTTTCCTGATTGTTTTTAACATTGAGCGTCCCACGTGGGCTTCATCAAGCACAACCTCATTTGATTTCTTTTCCTTCCACGATACTCTTAGCAGTCTCCTAAGAAACCACATTTCTGTTGCTTCTATTTTATTTTCACTGTCTTTAGTGATTGTCCAGCATTCACAGCCTATAGAAGGGTTGACCAAACATAGCATTTCAGGACTTTCATTTTGGTGTTCATTGAGATGTTTCTATTTTACAGGATTGGGCTCATTTTATTGAAACTAGCCTTAGACAATGTAGTTCTCTTTTTCATTTCTGTGGAACATTTGGCATCAGATGTTATCATATATTCTAGATATTGAAACTGTTGGACTTGTTTGATCTTTTCACCTTTGCTTGAGATTACAACTAGGATTTGCTGCTTTTTGGGATATTACCATGCATTCTGTTTTCTTTACATTCAACAATAATTAAAGAGATGCAAAACACAATAATCACCAATCATGGTTTGTGGCAACAAGAACATGCCAAACAGACAGTAGAAACAGCAGAGGCAGCAGAGCAAGTGAGCTGAGTCCTTAACCCACCACCAGCCACAACTCTTCTTATCTTTCTATTGTCAGTACAATCACTTAAACAACGCATGGATATCTCCGTGTGTATCTTGCAGGGAAACAAAAAAACATGAACAGGAAGCTCTATGAAGAAGGGAGGGTATAAGGCAGGTCTGTCTTTCTTTTTTTTCTTTTTTTTTTTTTTTTGAACATGCTTGACCTAGTGTACAGATCTGGGGTCACTGTGGGGTAGCAGCTATGTCTTTCAGGATCAGGAAAGAGCCTGCTGTGATCATCGTCAGGTACAAAGACAAGTCAGAAGGGAGGGGAAAGGGTGTTAATAAAGTACCGAACAACACAACGGTATCTGCATACACATGTACAGCACCACTCCTGGCAGTGATGGACCATAGGCCACAAGAGTGCAAATTATTTCACTACTCTTTCTACCAATTTACATGATAATCGAGAGACCCCAAATGAAAAATGCAGAAAAACTTATGAAGAGCATTAAAAAAAAAAAAATGAAAGTGACGAACTTTCATGAGGAGTTTTATGACACATGAATTCAGACCCTAGCTAGAACGTATGTATTGCAAGATCTTGGAAAATTCCAAATACAGTTCATAAAATCTAAGACAAAAGTTTTCTGTCTTCTCGCAACACTCATCGAATCCCAAACACACACCAGAAAATGTAACATATATTACATGTGGCTTTATCACTAGAATCAGAGCACCGGTACCAATCAGAGTGCCAGCAAAGATGGTAGGTCTACATGACAGGATGGTTCACTCCCTGATAAAAGCATCGATTAAAAACATTTGTTTTCATATCTGATACAAAAGTTCTTTCTGAAAAATCTGTACTCCTACTCTTTGCATACATGATGCATCACACACCTAAATAGTATCACACACTATAATTTACAAGCTGTCAACAGCTTTTTTGAAGACGTTTTTTTCTCTTTTTTTTCTATCTCAATTGGAGAAGTAAATCATCAAACGGAATAATCTTTGGTGTGAGTTTGGTTGGGAAAACATGACAACAAAGAGGAAGAAGCACAGAGGAGAGACTGATCGATACTGCAATAACGGTGAAAAAGGAATTTATAAGACGGAGTGAGTGAAGCAAGCCACATTCCTTCCCAACTTCAGTCACATTCTTTGCTGGCAAACAATGGGGCAATCGGAGGGGTGTGGGGGGGGGGGGGGAGGGGGAGGTGTGGGGTGTATAAACCTACAGTTAGTACAAGTACTCAATGGTCCATCTAAGTGCACAACTCCGTATTGATGGCAGGACGCATGACTCCGACAAATGCCATTTAGTACTTTGGTGTGTGTTAGAGTCTAGCATCCAATCCATCGTTGTGGTCTACATTTTTAAAGAAAGCAATGAGTAGGGCCTACATTTGGCCTTGATACATGTACCACCACCACAATAAGTGAAAATTAGCAAATCGGCAGTCAGTTGGCATGTGTTCCTATTTGACCAGAACATGTTGAAATCAACTGCAAAAGCTAAACACTCACACCCACTACACAAAAGATAGGTATTTTATTGCAACAGTTCAGTTGTCCACCTCTCAAAAGTCAAGAAGCTGTATATCTTTGTTCATGATAATTGTAGAAAAAGAAAAAAATTTGAAAAAATAACAAGACAAAAATTGGAACAAACATATTAGGGCATGAAACAAACACTGAAAGTAAATGTCATGACGTGACGACAAGACTTGACAGGAGATGCATCAAGTTGCTTATTCTAACGAACAAGTACACCCAAGCTAATTTGACTATTTGTGAAGCGATGAGCAGTGAGTCAAATCACACCAAGCAACAGAAGGTGATAAGAACTTAGTGGGAACAACAAAAGGATGATTTTTGGGGGAGGGGTGGGGGGGCTTATTTTCTGGGTTTGTCTGCATTATTGTTTTTAGGGATATGTCTAGCATAACATCTTGATTATGAAATATTATTTCATCCTCCAGAGACAGACAAACACCCCCCCCCCTCCCCATACACACACATACACAACGATAAAATACAATAGGGGGTTAAGAAATATTTCACTAGTCTGTAATATATAGTTCTCATTTCAATAAGATATAAGTATTCTAAGAGATGATTAGTACGACCACACATCAGGTACAATTTCTGACCTACTTTTCTCAACATAGAAGATTGTCTCTTTCCCCAATGAGAACTTCATGTACTGTTGAGACCGTATACATGATTCCATAAAGCGTTAGGTGCTCACAGAAGGAAACTGTTCCACAAATCACAAAATGAACTGTTGCCAAATAGGGTGATAATCTACTCATCATTAATTACAAAAGCTCCAACATGTCCATCAGACGATGTAAAGAACTGGGAGCAAAAATATTATCTACTTCTCCAAGGATAAATTTTCAAAACCGACTCTCTTGAACACTTTACTTGGACTGACAGTTAAAAAAAGAATTGCAAGCATTTATCATTTTCAGTCAACGAGTCTCTCAAGCAATAGATCCATTCAGGAACTCGTTTCAGAAAAATGTCAGCCAAAAAGTTAGAGCTAACATTTAATGGCTGGTTTTTTTAATATCTAGAAAACACTAAAATTTATCAAAATAGTTTAAATTACAATCATCTGCCTCAAGTTAACAGGAGAGTGGCAAATTTGAAAAACAAATGCAATGAAAAGGCAGACAGTCATCTAAACAGGGGATCATCTCTAACCCAGGGGATGCGGATAATACAAGGGCATCATAACATGATTTAGATTCTATTTCGCAAAAGGTAGGGAAAATAATATTATGCGTAATGTTCCGGTTTCATTTTTTCAATTCAAAAGTACTCTGTGACATTTATTATTTCCATATCAAATATCGGTGCTGAAATAACAAAATATGAAAACAAGGCAAAAAAGTTAACTTTTCACTTCGTCATGAAATTTTTAAAAATAAAATAACTTGTAGTTTTAAAAATATGACAAAAAAGACAACAAATTATTTTTATATCTGCATAGAGTCAACCACTCTATAACTCCAGAACAAATCCCAAAGAAGATATTGACCAGTCATATTTAGCAACAAGCCATATGAGGAGAATTTGAAGATTACAGAAAACCCGCACAGCTCCGCCCCCATACGACAAAAGCTATGACAGAGCACAATACACTTGTAAAAACCAAAACAAACACCCAACATAAGAAATGATCAATAGATTAACAGAATGAGACACTATTATGTTATTTATGCATAATACAGAAACGTCGCACTGTACACATAACAGCAATATTGTACAGAGAACAGCAAAAGTGTACATAATCCCATATGTTTGTGACAGAAACGTGGGACAGAGGCATCCTGCACAAGACCAAGACACAGTTTGTATGGCAACGTCGTACAACACACCGCAATGACAATGTTACGCATATGACTGCAAGAAGAGTGTTTTTGGTTTCTGTAAGACACAAAGACCATCACAGAGAGAGGGCAGAGGTAAAAAAACAAACTTTGAAGAATGATAAAAAGGAAGAGACAGAAGAAAAATCAAGGTTGACTCCAAAAAAGACAGAACTCCCTCAACCCTGAAGTCTTTCCATTTACCTGCCAAGAGTCAAGACTTGTCTCCATATTGAGAGGCCAAAGGCATAAAATGTAACAAGTCAAACCAAAAGTGGTCTTCTGTAAAAAAAACAACAACTGGAGAGTACACACACTTTAGCTTAACTGGAGGACAAAACAGTGGCATTATGGCATGTGTGAACGCACAGATTTTTAAAAATCCATACATGTAAAATAAAAGATAATTACACATGTGATGCCAAACCCGCATCAAACATTCAGTGATTCACGGGAGATGGCCCAGTACATAAGAAATGCATAACTACTATATTGCACAGTTTTGAGCAGGCCATAAAATCATACTTTGAGGGTCACATGCTAATGATTCTGATTACGGAAACCAAAAAAACCCAACAAAGCAGAGCTCTTGAGCTTGCTTCACAAAAATACATGGGTCAATCTAGTATACATGGGTCAATCTAGAAGGAACACGGAATTTAAAAAAAAAAAGAATTAAAATTGTACCATCCCCATGTTTAAGGGAAGAGGATGAGGGAGAGAGAAGGGTAGGAGAACAGGGATAAAGACAGCATCTGAAGGGTTCCGTTGCAAAATGCACCACACACCAAATCTAGGCATTTCTGAAAAAGCCCACCCATTTCCTAAACTTATGATAAGAATAGTCGTGACAATGAATTTTTTCCCCCTCAAAATTCACTATTTCTCTCAATAATTAGCAATTCATTCATAGGCCTATTTTTCTTTTCAGGGAATAAGTTTTCCCTTTTTCTCACTTTTGATGCTCATGTAAATGGATAGTGCATTTTGCCCTGGAGCCTTTCATCTGAATTAATAATTAAAGTTCATGCAGGATCCATTTTCATTTTGAAAGGAAAGTTTATTTGTATGAGTAAAGAGAAGCACATCGACCCAATAACAGTCATATTGTGCCAGGAAAAAGCAAGAAAGACAGAGAGAAACATTAGGGGGGAAAGAAAAGAAGTAGGACCTACCAGTGGCACCCTCCAACTATCCACAATAAAGACACAAAGTCACCTTACTCTTTGATATACAGAAACACAATAAATTACAGCAACAATGAAAGACAAAAAAGTCTAATCTACATGATAGTATGAGTAGTATGGTGTGGGTTTAAGGCCATTCCAAAATTTTATGGATATTACCTAATAGGGGGGGGAAACCTTGGACAAGAAGAAAGGGTGGAAACCTTGAAAGTTCCCCAAAACACTTTGAACTAAAGAATGACTATTCAGGAGGGCAGGGGTGGGGGGGGGGAACTTGGGCCATCTGTATGACGTTCCAGCAAGGCTCAGATTAAGCTATCAGCACCATCCGATTGCTGTTGAAGGATGTTAACTATCACTAGAGAGGGAAAGAACTAGATGGGAAGCCGATTCCCCCACCTCATTTTCAACACAGCTTACAGACCCAATAAAAGGCAATAGCTAGATTGTTTATCCCACATAGGCCACTAGCCTGACCACAGCCGTACTTCATACTACTACTACTACTACATCATTTTCTACACAGCTTAGAGACCCTAGTATAAAAGGCAATAACTAGATTGATTATCCAACATCATTTTCCACACAGCTTACAGACCATGGTATCACAAATTGTAGATTTTACACTCAGGTACAGATGATGACACTTTGTCTTAATCAAAAAGCTGAAATGTTGAGCTTCTGTGTACGGTAAAAATTTAGAGACACTGGAATACCAAGTCATTGGGAAAAAAAATACAGCGAAAAACACCTGTCACAACCCCCCCCCCCCCCCCCACCCCCCAACAAATACCATTATCATAATATTTTTTTTCTTCTTAAAAACCAAGTTTTTCAGATGATTAATGATTCTATCTTAAAACACTAATGTCCTCTTATTGTTTCTGTTGTTATTGATATGAGAGAGTCAAACTTCACAATTGTCTTAAATAATAAATAACAATAATTGCATTTATATAGCGTATATATCCACACTCTAAAGTGTGCTCTATGGGATTTACAACTACTAGCTTCCAATCTATTCAAAAATGATTTTGGAAACATGGACTGAATATACTGTATCATTGAGAAGGCCATGTTGACCGACTCATACTGTCATAGATACACTCCAAACACACACGCTTTACGATACAAATGCACAGTTTCCTCGTAATCCGTACAACTACTACAGCAACAAACACAGGGCAGAAAATATCACAAAATCAGCAGTAATTCTATTCACAGGCATCACAAACCTCCAAACATGTGTCAATGGAATTTAGAGTCCAAGAAATTTTACAAAGCAGAAGGCATAATTCCCTGGCCAGGGCAACGGAATATTTGAAGGAAAAAAGAAATAAAGAAGAACAGAATAAGAATTAAAGCAAAAAACAAAACCCAAACGCAATTCATTTCTTTTTCTTTCACACGGTCACAAAGAAGTCAGTCTGTGCGTGTTAAAAAGAAACATGTTGACACAACACAACATTGGCCAACTAGTGAGAGGCAGAGTGAGAGAACAGACCAAAGTCCTAAAAGAAAAAGACAGAGTGAGAGAACAGACCAAAGTCCTAAAGAAAAAGACAGAGTGAGAGAACAGACCAAAGTCCTAAAGAAAAAGACAGAGTGAGAGAACAGACCAAAGTCCTAAAAGAAAAAGGCAGAGTGAGAGAACAGACCAAAGTCTTAAAGAAAAAGACAGATGTAAAACCTTCCACAAGCATCCAAGGAGCCACCCAGTTCGCATTTTAAAAAATTCATAAAATCACATTAACCTTTTCCAAACTGCACTGATCAACACAGCATTAGAAAAATCGGTAGGGCTGAATATCAAAAGATTTAGAGCAATCATTCTACACACAAAAAAATGATAATAATACTAGCTGAGTCTGCTTAATAGGCAGGACAAACAGATTCTTATACGCGCCTCAAAGATTAATGAAAAAAAGAAAAGGAAACACGAGCTATCCAGAGACAAAAGCAAAATGAAATTGAATCACTGATTCCCCCCGACACAAATTAAAAATTCTTCTCCAAAGCACTCACAGACAAGGACAAAAAATGAAGACAACAGGATGGCCATTGCCATACACGAGTGACTGAACTGTTTGAAATATTCTCATCAAGACAAACAATTTTTCCATAATCTCTAAAACGGCATTTGACAACAATCATCACAGTATGTAGGTCGAGGGCATAATATAAGAATTATTTTTTTAAAAACATAACATTAGAAAAACAAAATGTAAACGTATTGGGGAAACTTAAAGAAGAAAATGTTTTCACCAGTCTGAAGCAAGCACACTATAGGCAGTAGCCCTATCAAAAACAGGCTTGGAATCAGCAGTGCACTTCAAGCAGCCAGTGGCCATGAGAATTTCATGTCCACGGTCTGGTGTAAAGTAAGAGTAAAGTATCGCCCCCATTTTGAATAGCTGGACCTAATGGCAACATCTGGGGTCGCAGATATGGGGAGGTTTACACTTTATTCTCACCTGCCATATTCTATCCACCCTTTTGTGGATAATGGCCACTCACCTATGGATGAAATTCTCAAAGTATCCCTTCAATTGTCGCTATGTACTGGAATGTACGTCAAACTCCTCTGTATTCTTAATAGTTCATGACTCAGAACTAGACAAAAATGTGGGAAGTTCGTATAAAATATTGTCCATATATGAATAATGAAAATAATTACTTTCAGGCCCTGTGCAACGAAAGTTTCAATACTTTAAAAAAAAAACTATAAAAAAAAAGAAAATAGAAGGATGGGAGGGTACACTTCTCAACAACCAGCTGTCAAGTTCTTTCTTTTATACATTGTACAATCTGTCCTCATCTATACATCATCGATAATGAAACACACAGAATCTTAGTTCAAGCCACAGTATCAAGAACAGCATTAGCATAGCATCACACAGCACTTGCAAGACAAAAATAAATAAAACACAAACTGCTATGGGACATAAGCAATGGCTACCCACAGCCACAACAGCAGGGAGAAGGATATCATGCATAACAAACAAACCGTTCCATAGCCACATACAGCCAAACACAGAAGAAGCCACCGTTGGTTAACTTACAGATTTGATCAAATACAGCGATATCTTCAGGACCAGCATAAGTAGTTGATCTAAGCATGGCATACACTTGCTCTTTTGCAGAGCGACTTCACCAAAGTCCTTATACTGAACTCGGGGACTGCTGCGCATATTAACGACAGATAGTTCTCACCTTCAACCATCCTGATCTCTATACAAAAACAAAAAAAAATCCTAAAAACATTTACCCCCCCAACAAACACCAAAACCAAACAACATAAATAACAAAAAGAAACACCAACCCAAAATCCCCCAATACAAAACAAAGCCAACATACACCAAAAATAACCCAGGCCACTTCATATAGGGGCTGCCCATCACCAAGCATCTCACTACTGCAGGCCTAAGGCAGCTAGTCTAGAGCCAAGTCAAAGAACCCATCACAAGTCAATGACCTCTAAGGAATAAACAGGCTATGGGTAGACAGTCATCTAAACAGGGGATCACCTCCAGCCCAGGAGATGTAGACAAACCAATTACGATAAGGGTGCACGGGAGGAATATAATCTGACAAAAAGCATGAAAATCTGGTTCAACAAAAACTTAATTATTTCGGTTCCTTTCTGCTCATCAGCGGCGTTTTTTTCTTCACCCTTTTTACCAGGGGGTTGTCATAGACCCAGTGCTCTCCGACTTCGTGGAAAAACTGAAAGAAGAAAGCAAATGAAGCAATGGTGATGATTTAAGTGGTGGATGTTTGACTTAGGAATGCTCAGCACCAGCTTTTGGGTGGGTGCATGCGCACGCTGTTTGCATGTGTGTTTATAATGTGTGAGCTAAATCATTATTGAAATACTCACTTGTGCATCAGACATTTGAAAAACAAAGTACACTTTATCTCTGCATCAGCGAATGTGCACGTGCACACACACACACACACCATACACACACACGCGCACGTACACACACTTGCTCAAATTTAGGGATATAATGCCACCATAACAAACATGAGGTGTTCTAACAACTTTTTAATGTTTGGAAACAAGCCACCTCCTCCTCCACAATTTTTGCAATTCATTTCAAACCGATGAATCGTAGTCACTAAAAGACCATGGCCATGGCTGGATAATGGTTTTATTTCTCAGACTGACATGTCTGATGAAAATGTAAGGACTCTTGAAACCACAAGTATTCAGGCTTTTGGTCAAGCATACCGGTGCCAGGTTGTATTAGTATTTGCAGCAAAAACACACACTTTTATTTCTTCTTCTTCTATAAGTACCAAAAACAGCCTTCGGCACCATGGTTTTCCACTCATTTTTCTGCTCAGCCATTTCTAAAAAAAAACCTTCCATTATCCTGGTATTTTCACATTACCCAATTGTTCAATTTATTTAAACAAGATATTTTCGGTCTCCACCTGCCTATTTTGCACAAATTTTACAAACAGTAGATGGAGACTTGCACCACGTACCTTGGTTTCCCACTTGGCGCCCTGCTCCTTCCTCTCTTTAGCTTCGTCTCGCTGCCTCTGTTCCAGTCGTCGTTTCTCTTCGGTCGCTGCATCCACATTCTTCTCCTTCAGGTTCAGCGTCACTTTTCTCCACAATCTGACACACAATTATTATTTACAATAAGAATCCTATTTCTATGTCATTTTCTAACAGAACAGTGTGCCAACAAAAGGGTTAACAAGCAGAGCATTTATAACTACCATAAGGTCATTAAAAAAACAGACATAATATTTGTCAAATCATACAGAATATATAAAACACAGATTTCCTAAAATTAGATGTTGCATAGTAAATTAAAAACCCTTTCAGAACACTGTTCCCTCCCCCAAAAATTTTTTGGGCATAAATTTTCCAAAAGAGGGCTAAGATCTTTTCTATACAAGGACTCTGCTATGACATCTCCACACAGAAGATGGAGGATACTGAAAGACCTTCTCAAAGGAGAACTGGAAAATGGAGGTAAGATAAAAGCTCAAATCATATGCTCTTGGGTAATTAAAAGAAAATCAACACAATAAATGTCATTTAAAGCAGAGAAAAGGCATGATAGAAAGACAAAGCAACTGAGAGGAATGAAAGAAGTGGGACCTATCAGTGGCCCCATCCCACCACCTAATACAAAAATCAAGTCATCCTCTTCTACAATACTAAGATGTCCCAATTAACATCAACTTTAAGACCTGTGAAAAATTGACAGAAGAACAAAGCAGACACTAGAAATGAGCTCTTAAGTCGCATAACATAAATACACTAGACTTTGCATAGTAAGGTTACTTTTTGAGCCAGGTTTAAAAGGAGGATGTCGATGTTGACTGATGGAGAAGTCTTTTTACAAAAAATTTTGTTCTTTTAGTAGCAATGCCAATCGGGCTTTCCCGCGAGGCGAAAATTTGGTCCCCATTTACGGGCGATTTTGCGGACCCGGCCGAAGCGTAGGTGATTAACTTTGTCAACCTCGGTCTGCTCTATTTCCGAACCAATCCGAATGAAACTCGGCAACCAATCAGAAAATAGGGCAAACTAATAATATGTGGACGTTGAAGTTCGTACACATAAAATAACCTATACTTTTGGTGTCGGGAACACTTTCGTATCGTGTACACCGAAAACTATAAGGAGTTTGAATTTCGACGCTGAGATGGTAATAGATCTATCTATCCTCTATAGTGTGCTCAAATTTGAACGTTTTGTGTCAAGTAGTTGTTTAGACCCGATCATAAATGCACGACTACCCCCCTATCCAAAGCGGCTTCGCACGGAGACCGGCCATTTTCCCCTCACTCTCGTGGCAAATGTATGCGACCTACAAATCCCCGCATGACTATTCCGGGCCCGTTCATTGGTCACTTGAAATAGGGCAATGGCGCGCGCGCGCATCCGGTTGTTTTTCTCTCTATTCCCCTGTAACATCGCTATGGGGGTATTCCGAGGCGAGGTTATCTCGTCTCGGGGTGTTCGCGTCTCAACGGGGAAAAAGAATTTTTAATTGTACGGCATGCTAGATTGAATTAACTTATGTTTTACGGTTGGCATGGTCTAAAGTCATCATAAAAAGCTTTGCAATTATTTGGTCACGCTGCCGACATATATTCTTAAAGATCCCATGTTGTGATACGATGCTATAAATAAAATGGACTCATCCCGACACCCCTTTTTCGCAAAATCGTAATATGTACACCACAATTTTAATTATAACAAAATAACTATGAAATTGGTAGTAAATCTGACTGCAGAAATGATTTCTACACTCAAAAACACATCAGGTAGCCAAGTTTCTCTCGAACACTCCGATTAGTTTCCGAGATATCGTCGATTTTCTTACAGAATCTGCTACTGCGTGGTCCACTTTTTAGGAGTATTTTCCTATATGCGGGTCATCCATATTTTGCCGACCTTTACAATCCCATAACTTTTTAAATTTATGAACCGATTCTCAAAATTCAAGAAGCATAATTCTTAGAATTGAAAATTCTTTCTTAGGTACCAAAAAAAAGGGGGTAAAAGTGAAAATTTAAATTTTCATTGGCATTGCTACTTTTAGCAAGAGTTTTGCGGCACTTTCAACACAAAATGAATTAGCTCATATAAGTGCTGGAGTATAGTGGTGTTGCGTTACAGGAGGGTAACAAATACAAAAAAGGAGGAGGAGAGACGAAGACGATTGATGTTTGATAGGAAACAAGGAGCAGGCCACACCAGATCACCCATCAACTACCCTAGAGAAGGCTTGATAACCATTACATCGCAAATTCTGCTGGAACAGAGACACATAAATTTAAGAAATGAAAGAGATTTAGTTTTAGTTTTAATAAAAGTTTTACAACGCTTGCAACACATGAAGGTCATATAAGTGCCGAAGATTAGAAGTGTTACAAGAGCGTAACAAACACGAAAAGGGGGGGGGGAGATAGAGAAGATAGATTTTTTATAGGAAAGAAGGAGCAAACCACACCAGAGCACCCTCTAACCACCCACAAATGAAAGAGATTTGAGTTCTCCAAAAGAGAAATGCACTGACTTGGCAACAGCCATTTAGTGCAGGGGACAAACAAGACAAACAGCCAGAAACAACAGAGATAAAGAAGAGAAGTAAGAAGCAAGCACTGGTGCCTTCCAACCATCTGCTAAGCCAGTGAAGGAAAAGGAGGGAGAAACAAAGGTAAAAGGGTCAAGTGGTGGTCATAGAGCATTGCAGCAAAGTCTTACAGGAACCGGAAACACCTGTGTGTGTGTGCGTGTGTGCGTGCTTGTGAGTGTGTGCGTGTATTTGACTTCAATCTCAGAAAAAAAAAATCTTACTTTTCAAGACTCGAAGTGTTTATAATTGACTTTAAATTAACCAAAACAAATTCTTACTTTCTAGACTCGAACTCATCCTGCTGCTCCGGCGGCTTCACAATCTTCTTGATGATGGGCTGAGTCTTGGTGTCCACAAACACTTCATTTTTCTAACAGGGATGAGAATTTAAAAGAAAAAGCTCTTATGACATCAAAGGCTGATTTTTTGGTAAAGAAAAAAGTACAACCACACAATAATAGTTATGTAGTGCAGGAAAAGAGTAAGAGGCACAGACACAGACAGACATGAACAACAGAGGGAAAGAGCAGAAGAAACACTTAATAGTGGTTCCTGCCAACCATCCTCACACAGGTTGACAAAGCAGCTAAAAGATAAATAAGCTGCATGTGAAAAATACTGCAGTGCCTCGTTCAGTCATGTGGTGACAAAATAATAAAGTGGGCTCTTAAGCGGATTGCAAGGGAAACAACTCAGATCCAACACATCAGTTTCCATTGTTTATCTAATGATGAAATGTTGAACAGTACACGCTCCTGGCACCCAAAATAAGACAGAGAAGTTTTGTCTTAGGGCCTGCATTTTCAACAAAGTTCATTTTAAACAATTTTTAATACATATTCAAGAAATCCTTTAAGAAAAAGAGTAAACTTTTGTGATGCAGAACTGATGAATGTAACTTCTGCACTTCCCCTCTTTCATTTGTTTCTTTGAGTAAAGAAAAGCACATCGACACAATAAGGGGTCATTTAGTGACAGAAAAAAGTAAGACAGACAAACAGAAAGAGCTGAGGGACGGTAAAGAAGTAAAGTCTACCTGCTACCCCTCCCTCCAAAATGTTCACGCAGAAAATCCATGCATCAAATTAAAAAAAAAAAAGTTAAGACATAAGAGAAGTACCGCGCCACATCTGCACAAGGCCTCTACCACAACTCGCTGTTAGTGAAAGGTTACTCACCCCCGAGGCCCACTTGGCATACATCACACCATTCCACTCTCCTTCAATGGTCACAAAAGATTTCTTCTCATTTGGCTCAAATATATTTGCAACCACCCGATGCTTTCTGCTGCCGTAAAAAGGCTGAAAGAAAAAATAAACAGCACAGTTTGTTAGCGGGGTAGCAAGTATATGATTCACTGATGATTGGAAATGATTCTGCACGCAAACGTCTTTATTTGGAACAGGCTTACCTATCAGTTAAGGCTTTTCTCAGAACCTATATTACATATCCTGTAGAATGCGCACTGTAAACAGTAACCACTTCATTGTGAATATTCACAACTGCATGGTTTAGAACACATAAATGAACAGAAGCCAAAATCTGTACTGATCATTTCCTCGCTTATTCTAATTCCCCTCACAAGCAAAGTGAAAAATCAACAAGATTGATCAATACGCTCTTTTTGCAACAGGGCATCTTACAAATTATGATAACGAAATAGTGTCTCATGCTCATATCTATATCATATTTGTGAAAGTTCGTCACTTTGGTCGCCTAAAACTTTAGAACCACTTTAGTTGAAAAAATTAACGGTGGTCCAGAATCATATAAAGGGTGCACAGTTATATTGAGGAGTCTGAAGTCATTGTAGTTTAATTTTCAGTTTTTCATTAGTTTCGTTTAGATCTAATCTTGGGAAAGCCTGTCTTTTAAGACGTCATTGTAAACAAGTGAGGCTTCCGTTCACAAGCAGTGAACACTGGTTCCACAATGACATGACAATCGATTCTTTTGAGTCCGTTCATCGAACGGGTACCCAGATAGTCATTTACAATAGCACACAGTTGATGGAAAAGCAATAGAGATGAAATTGGTATAAAGACAATGAAAGAAAACCTTCACAAAAAGATGGCTGAGTTGCAATTTATTTCAAAACGACAAAGCAGCTTTGTGAAAGCCAAATAAAACAAAAAGAGATGACACAAATGTTGCGTACCTTGGTTTGGAATTCCACTAAGGAAGAGTAGCCTGACTTTGCACAATTGATGTTGATCTTGCCTCCCAGTTCCACCCAAGGCACCGTCAAGATGGACCTGAGGTGTAGTTTATTCACAATTAAAAGACAATTTGACAGCATTTTTAACTCCTCGTCTCGGACAAGCCGCCTCTTGCAGCTTGCAGTCGGAACCAGCATTATAGTTATTTTCGGCGACTGCCGAAAACAGGTCTCTCTTATCAGGCACTATTTCATAAGACGAAGAACTATCAAACTAAATAACCAATTGAGTGACATGTATGCAGACGCCCCACTCTATGGATCTCAGGGGGAAAATACCAGGATCTGGGGAAAAAATTGGCATCAACGACAAGTCACCACGCTGACTACCCTCAGTGTGTTTTGTGAGTTTGTGTGTGTGTGTGTATATTTAATCAAATGTTGCTTTTTCAAAATCCTGAAACATCAAGCAAACCTTAAGTTGACCCCGTCAACGGACGGTCCCCGACACACGCGGAACTCACACACCTAAATCATGTCATATGATGCAAACGTGTGACTGAAACAGTTCTACTGATGGGTCTTGATGGCGAGCCTGACAAAGTAGACCTTAGACGAAACTTGTTCGAAAGCAACAGCAAAACCATGAATAATATCATTTATTTGTATGTCGCAATTGTAACAGTTATCAGTCCATCATCAGAGAATTCTTAGTGGTAACAAAAGCCAAAAGCGAAAGTAGATCTTGAGAGTATCCCAAGTCGGTATGCCAAACCGATACTACTTCGATTATAGTCGAAATTACACAAGTGGGCAAAGATTCAACACAACTTGGGGCAAGTTAACTACTATATAATTAGGAAAATAATGCTCCGAGTTCCTGTAGGCAAAAAGTTCAACAAGTGCTTCCCGCGAAAGAAGAAGGCAAAGTAAGTTTTTTGGAAAAATCTGGCGCAACAGGCAGAACAAACAAATTCGGGATACATGCGATTGAAATCGGGATGCTTGAGATTTGAGGCAAAAAAATCGGGATATCCCAATTAAATTGGAATGAGTGGCAGGTCTGTGTTTGTCACTCTCAGATTTCGTACCAAAAGAAGGCTACGGCGGAATGGTGGGAAAACTCCCTCCGGCGATAAAGAGTAAAAGTATGAGCAGTTTAAGACTAACATGAGGAGCAGTTTATCCACAATTAAAGAGAACTTGAGCATAAAAGACTTTAACATGAGGAGCAGTTTATCCACAATCTAAAGAGAACTTGAGCATAAAAGACTATCATGAGGAGCAGTTTATCCACAATCAAAGAGAACTTGAGCAAAAAAGACTATCATGAGGAGCAGTTTATCCACAATCTAAAGAGAACTTGAGCATAAAAGACTAACATAAGGAGCAGTTTATCCACAATCTAAAGAGAACTTGAGCATAAAAGACTATCATGAGGAGCAGTTTATCCACAATCCAAAGAAAATATGCATGAAACTCTAACAGAATATTTCAGGAACAGTTTATTCACATTCAAAAGAGAACTTGGTCATTAAACATCACTTACAAGAGGAACAGTTCATCCATACACAAGAGAGAACTGGAAAATAAAACTTTTACATGAAGAGAACTTGGCCCACAACCAAATAAGCAAGCGTAAAAGTCAAAAGTTATCAAAAACTGGCATATGGAGGTACACTAATTGTACCTAGTCCATGGTGTGAACATGGGTTCTTAAACCCTACACTCTCTCCAGACATGCAGTTTTTGGGTGGATGATTTAGGCTTGAAAAGTAGGGCAGTTTGATTTCAGGGCAGCATCAGTGTCATGAAAATAAACTTTGTAGTCCTGAGACCTCCTGCTGTCTCCTTCAAAAATGAAGAAAAAAAAAAAAAATACCCCAGAGCTTCTGACAGGACCGTTTTTCCAAACAAGGGAAATCTGATGGAGGACTATACCCGTTTAAACTTTGGACCTCGACATTCTTCAAATCTCCATCCCCGCACTACCCAAATGTGGTTTGCCACTGGTGCACAGGCCTTACAGGATACTGATATATGGTCGCTTTGAAGGATAAGTGGGCTAACCCGGATTTCGGGGGTTTCCAAAAATCTTGACCTACACAAAAAGCGGGCATTGCCATACCTATAGGAGAAGTTTTGTTTCATTGGTGCGTACATTTGTTTGGTTATAGAGAAAACTCTCCTCGTCTTTTAAAGAAACTGAACAAGAGTCCAAAACCTTTACCTTCGATTTTCTCAAAACAACATTTTGGGGGATAGCCCCCTTGTACTTTAAAGCGACCACATAAGCCGTTGGAACAGGTTTCCAATCCTAACTGATTCCAAGAAATAAGCTCTGGGCAAGTCTACCTATCTAACCTGATACTATCAGTGATACCATCATAAAAGCCCTGGGACCTGTTTATCGATCAAACCTGATACCAGGAGATAAACTTTTCAAATTTACGGAACATACCCAGTAACAGGAAATAAGCCATGGTCCAGTTTACGGATCTTACCCAATATCAAGAAATAAACCGGGTGTTGGTCTACCAATTTTATCTCACACCATAAAATACGCCCTGGCCCCGTTTACTGATCTCATCTAATACCAAGAAATAACTTCAGGGCTGGTTCACTAATCAACATGTCATCTGATACCATAAATTAAGCTCTATATGCAAGTTTACTGATCTCATAAGAAACAGAGAAATAAGCAGCACAACCAGTTCATGGATCTCTCCTGACACCAAGAAGTAAAGCTCCAAGCCTGTCTACCTGACACCAAAAAATATGCTCTGGAAAGTTTACCGTTACCTGATGCAGACAAAAAATATCCACACACTGGTCTGCCAATCACACCTAATGCCAAGAAATAAGAAGCCTTGCCCCGGTTTACTGATCTTATTTGAAATTAAGAAATAAGTTCTTAACCTGTTACCCAATCCTCCTCCAGGTTCAAAGAGTAATTAACCTCTCTGCTCTAGTACCTCCAAAAGCCCATAGGCTCACCTGCCGTATCCACTGGGGAAGGACAAGGTATACTCCTCATCATAGTCCAGCACAGACAGCACACACTGACCAATCATGTGCACACCAATTGACAGGCCCAAAAACTTAGACTTGGTCCAGATGTAGCCATCAAGGGAGATGCGCTTGTTGTAGTTCTCCGAATAGAATGCTGAGACTGAAAAAAAACATCACTCCTAAATTTGAGTTTTGAGCTAAAAGCCATTTTTCAGTCAAATATCATCACTTTCAAAAGAGATGGTACCTATCATCACTTTCAAAACAAATGGCACTAATCAACTCTCTAAAAACAAACCCTATTTTTATCATCCCATTCAAAACAAACAGTATCTATTATCATCACTTTAAAAAAAATGTACTTTGTTGTGAAGTTGTGCCAACATCACCATAAATAAACACTACTGTTCATACAAATGACATCAAGCAAACAAATACTTTTCCAGGACGACTTTGCATATCTCTAAAAAACCAGCTTGATGTAAACTTATTTCAGGCAAACACAGGTTTCTCCCACCTAAATGTCTGTACACATGAATGATGAATTCCTATATTCAGGTAACACACCCTTTTGTACAGTAAATTAGTCACCAAACTGGGATGGAATAGAAGCCTCCACTGATAGCAAGCCCAGTACAACTGTTCTACACTAAATCTGGACTTTATTTTTTCAGTAACCTTACAGAACCAAGCTCACGCTGAATTTACCCTACTACCCTTTTGCACACAAAAAGCACGCCTCAAAGAAAGATGGTGCAAATCTAGCAGTCAACCCAAGGGAGCACAGGTGCACGGGGCCTGTAATCTTAAGTCGACACCTGCTCCAAAGGCCCAGGAGAATACAGACTGTGTGGTACAAACTAACGCAAGACAACATCACATCAAAATAAACATAATGTCATGGTCATAACACAGTTGCCTTGATCATTTTTGGTTGCTTTGAGAAAACTTTAAGAAGACAGTGATTACTTGAGTTAACCTAATACTGGGTGCCCATTGGCACGATCAGGTCGGGTCGAGTCATTGAGGGCGCAAAGAGGCTGTCGTGGCACAAATTGATTGCCCAAATCGTTGCCTAAAAAACAAACAGCGTTTATTTTCAGGTGACGAGTCAGGCGATCGACCCGAAAGGACCCGATCCAGTCCGCGTGGGCACCTGGTCTTACGAATTGAGCAAAAGTGAAAATGTCTGAATTATTAGATTTTTAGACTATGAATCAGAACCCTGGTATATTGTGGACACAAGAACCAGTATCTGGCATTGTTCGCCTACCAATGACTACAAACCAGGAAGAAAAAAATAATAATAAAAGAAACTGTGCTATGAACATGAGGAAGAGTTCTTTAGTTTCTAGTCACACTCACTTGGTGGGTGATGGGACACTTGCTCCGAGATGAATGATAAGTTGTCTTTTGTACACCATGGAGTTGGACCTTCAGGCGACACTTCCTGTTAGGTCAATTTTAAAAAATGAGGTCGTAATAATTTCATCAACGTTAGCTAATTTGACTTGACAACAATTACAAGAAAATCCAGCAAACCACTCCTCTCTTTCACTCTCCCTCCCATGTAAACATCCTGAAAAGGTAATTACTGAATTGGACAGAGAGAAAAAAGAGAAAGGTGTTCACCAGTAAATGATTGATTATACCTTTAAAATCTGCAGCTCCTTTATCTCTCAAACACTTTCCAGTCCGCCCCCCATAAAGGTTAGGTTGTTCAAGTAGTGACTTACACATGTTTAGGTAGCATATAAAGAACAATACAAAGAACTCTTCATACTTTTTCTAATGATGAAAAGTAACAATATGTGGCAAATAATGATTTCTGATGTCAGTTTCAGATCTAGCACTTGAAATAGAAGAAAAGTAACGGGTTAAGGAAATTACAAAAACCAATAACCTGCACATTTGTCAAAAGCAGAACATCTTGAATTCAGTCAAATTCATGGCAGGTTGAATCAAGGAAAATGATTTCAACAAATGATGAGAATTATGACAAGGCTAGGAAACTCACCGCAGATTCAGGGGCACCAGGTACATGCCAGTAACACTTGAATGTTTCTCCTATAATTGGGTTGTAAGGCTTTTTGGCAATCTCACTGGGTCGACCAGCATGGAAGGCTCCAAGATACCACCTGATCACCTGCACCATTCGCTCCTTTGGAGTGGTCATATCAGCAATTCTGGAGAGGGAAAGTTGAGAGGAATGTGTTTATAGACATGATATGCATCAAAACTGAAGTGGAAATCGACTGCTCGGTGAAAGACTCCATCAAACGTCACTTTTCAAAATGGTGTATGGCACATTTTACAGTAAGCTGTCGAAATGAGCGGTTTATCCATGGTGTCATGTTCTCACTCGGTAACTGGTTTCTTGCATATTTTGAAGATGAAAAATCAACATCTGTATTAAATCATGAGAATAGACACAAAAATTATCCCAGTTGCATGCCGACTCCTGATTCCAAATAGTTGCCCAATATCTTCCAGTTAACTGTTACAGTATAACACTTTCAAGGTAAAAAAACATTTGAGTTTGTTTTTGTTTGAGTAAAGAGAAGCACACGACACAATACAGTAGTCTCCACCTCAGATCCCGGTGCTCTGGAGCAAGGAATATGCATGATCTTAGGTGAACGGGACCTTAGCCAAAGCACCAAGGGAAGGATCCACGGTGACCCATGTTTAGGTCCACAACCAGAAAAGCGGTCTCCCTTTACTCTAAAATAAACTTACGTGAGTCCTGGATGAGTTTACGACTTATGGCTAGCAAAGAGTTGTCAGCCATGATGACCGATGAAAGTGGCATTAGACATGCCACTTTCACTTATCACGAGTCTCAAGATCTACACTGATCCAGTTGTTCCTCCCTTTTCCCTGTTCAAAATTTATAGCTTTCCATCTCTGAAAGAGTCCCCCCCCCCCCCCCTTATGTCATTATGCAACTTGCGGTTTAACCACATCAATTAAAATTCAGTCTGTCTCACAACTCACAAATTCGGGAGAAGAGACAACTGCGGCAATGGTCAGGGAAGAGTTAACAGTTCAATGTGATCCCGCCTGAAGCGAACCTGTAGGCGCTACTCATCGAGCATGTAAGTTTAGGTGGAGGGCTCAGATGCGAGTGTGATGGTTGGGGAAAAAACGTGTCCTCCAGTTCACACTTCGGTGTGATCCTGTCGGGGGGCAAACATTGTACCGTTTCATCGAGATTTACAATAGATATGTGATCATACTCAAGAGAGTGGCTGATTTGTGATGCAACGGACATTTCAATGATTGCAAATTTCCACTTTTAGTTGATCTTTAGTGCCCGCCCGGGTTTTTGTTCTATAAATTTTTTTTGCCCTAAAATCGGAAACTCCTTGCTCCAGGATCTCAGGGAAATAACAAATCTTTATGTTTAAGTGATTGCTCAAGACTCATCTGTTTAATTTTTAGTTAAGAGTGTGTTAGTAAGTGCTGGGCTCTTAGGTGGAGACTACTGTATATGGTCATTTTGTGCTGGGGAAAAGTAGGACAGACAGGAAAAAAACAACAGAGGGAAAGTAAAGAAGTAGGACCTACCAGTGCTGCCTCCAACCACCCACAGACAAGATTTGAGAGTAGGTCAGAAACCTTGTATTGTTCTGAGTACTGTCAAAGAAACTTCCTGTCAAAAACAAACAGTTTTTAAATGACAAACGTCACAGAATTCTCACTGGCAAAAGGAGTCCGGGTGAGCGAAAAAATCAGCAAACATTTCCAACAGCGAGCGCCTCTCCAGGATAAAAGTGGGCAGAACCACTTTGGTCAGGTCCATGCCAATGCGAACCTGGGACAACAGGTGACCTATGATGCTGCCGTGCTGTTCCATGGAGCCCACTGGTGGGAGAGAACAAGAGAAATGAGAGAGTGAGAGTGAAAGTGAGTGAATGGGGGAAGGAAGGGGATTGGAATGGGGGAGGGGGCACAACATGTAAGCTATAGATCCCCATAGGTTGAAAAGAACAAGAATGAAAAAGGCTAGTTTAACCCTTTGAGCCCTGACTTCCTGAGGCTACCATGCTCCTCAGCAGGTGACCTTTGATCCTGTTCCATAGCTGATGCTACTGGTGGGAGAGAACAAGATAAATGGTCGCTTTTATGCACAAGGGGGCTATCCCGCAAAATACTGTTTTGAGAAAATCGAAGGTAAAGTATTTGCCCCTTGTTCAGTTTCTTTAAAAGACAAGGAGTTTTCTCTATAACCAAACAAATATACAAATATACACAGCAATGAAACCAAACTTCTCCTATAGATAGGGCAATGCCCATTTTGGTGTAGGTCAAGATTTCTGGAAACCCCGAAATCTTGGTTGCCTGCTTGATCTTAAAAGCGACCAAATGAAAGTGAGAAAGTGAAAGTGAGTGAATGAGGGAAGAATGGGGATTGGAAAGGGGGGGGTGTTGTTTGTGAATAGCATCTAAAACTGGTGGTTCTGTGATTTTCCTTCCTTCCCGGGGTAGGAGATAAAGCAGAGGCTGTAGGTGCAATGCCACAAACAAAAACCCAACTCCATCACAGAGAGATTGTAAGAAAAATGAATGGGTATGTTGGTGTCTGTTGTATTATTTTGAGAAGTTGTT